TGTATGCGTAAAACCCTATTTGGCTGCCTTTTTCTTGCTTATTGAGCCTTATGATGCCCGAATTTCTTCCCTGTACGACGCGTACTTCTCAACGACTCCAAATCCGACCACTTCACTGCTGAACCCATTGAAACTTGTCAAGTGTTTGCCCTCAAACCCTTCCTAAGCAGTTCTGCTCTGCCTACGCTTTTTCCCACGCTTCAAAGCCAGAAACAAGATAGTCGAAGATAAGCCTCAATTTGATGGGCAGGCTACGATACCACAAATCTCTGAATATGTTATGCACATAATAGTGAGTAGTATCCTTGTATTGTACTCCTATAGAGCCACTCAAACATTCCAAGAAAAATCTGGCTATTAGCTACTGGAACTTTTTCCCTAGATATCTTCCGCACAACGTTCTGGTTGTTGAGGTGCTACTTATTGTCCTTATGTAGGTCATATGGCTACCAGCTCTGAAGTTTTTAGAGGGTGGGGTACCTAGTTTTATTACCGAGCTAAATGTCCAGCATCCAACAGATGGTCTGAAAGTTGAAGCGTATTGTTAGGCACTAGGCATAAGTTATGTTAACTGACGGTTAGCATGCTCTGATGGCAACCGCGCGCCGCGCCCGCCCACACATAACGGCAGATTATTTGCACACTCGAATTGTCCGCAGCAATCGTCATCGTCAGGTTTTGTGATGATTACTTCTAAATGTAAATAAATTTGTTTACAGCGGTAGGATGTGAATGGTACTTCTTACCTTGGGTTCTATGTGTTTACTCCACAAAGCTGTAGATACTATTTGGTTGCAGCCTCAGATGAGCATGCCCTTTATGAAGTTTTTCATAATCTTAACATACCCGATTTGGTTAATAAGTTATTTAAGTCATCTAGAATTCGATGGAATTGGCCATTGAACGTATCGTCCGCCGCCATCATCGAAGACTCAAAAATCGGCAGCTAAATCTTCTCAGCCTTGAGTGTTAGATTGAATGGGCTTCGAATTTTCAACAGTTGAAGGTGACGAATTGTAAGCGGAATGATGTTTACAAACCGTGGGCAGCTTCTAACGAATGATGTCGGAATAATCTCTTCTGAATTTATCAAAAATCACGAAAGATTAGCTTTCATCAACAGTCTATTTACTTTTAGAACACTCACTGGTGAAGATAATTTCCTTTCAGTGCTTCCACGCTAATTAAGTACCCAGTGATGCGAAGAAATTTTTAAGTAGTGCTGCTCTCATGTATGCATTGGCTTTCTCATTTGATCAATGGGCGTAAAGTCTCCTGGTCGGGAAGTTATTTTGTTTAGTTGTGTCCTTCATTTGCATTTCCCTCCACTTTCTCTACTCTATACCCACAATTTTGTTACTTTGAATACATCAGGTAGTTTCTATGGTGTTTTAAGTGTGAACGCGTAAAACGAGTTCGAGTTGTCAAAGCGAATGTGCGTGCAGGACTCCAACCATGTGGTCGCCACCACTTCTTTAGTTCTCTCCTATCCGATTACATCCAGTCACAATATCCCATCAATACTACCAGTTCAGGAGCGTGCAGCTGTGACTCGGGACATATCGAACAATTGGAACTGGCAGCTGATTCTGTGGAGTATAGGTCTTTTAATTCTTCCCCAATTCAGCACCCATCTGAGGTTGGGCTATCTGCGCTACATAGGCCATGTCGCTAGAGGTGCTGCTCTAATGGTTTTGTTGATGCAAACACTCCGCATACTTAAAAAGTTTGTTTCCCCCTCTCTTGTCTAAATTGTCCACATTCCGAGAAGAACCGGATTTGGATTGTTCTCACCAACCAAGTCACCGCATTATACCATGAGTGTCTGATTAGCTGACTTTCTTCCAGTTGGAAAATAACTATGGTAAACTTTCTTCCAAAGTAGAACCATCGAAGTTCTTCAAAAAATTCTCTACATTATCCCAAGCATCTTTGTGAGATTGAGAGAACAAATTTCTTTCCGTGGGGAGGAAGAAGTCGAATGTTGTGTCGATCGCATCTGATTCTATTTCGAAACAGTTTCTCGGAAATCTTGACAGATGGAATGCGTTGAATGTTGAATGTTGAGCAATAAACTTTGTAATATCATTAAATTGTGATTTTTCAGCAATTCTTCTGCAATAATCATGGCAACGTGTTGAATTCCCTCGGTGTGATTCAATTTGCATGCTTGACGTGGTGTGACCCGAAGAATCGATGGCCGACTACCCTTTTCAAGACACTTCTTCAGGGCCCCGATTAACGTCATACGAGAGGCGCGGAAAGAGCAATGCAGAGTTTAGTGATGAGGCTTTTTTTTATTCCTTTTTCATCATATTCACCCTCTTTTGTAAACTTTATCTGTAAATGCTTATTGTTTTATGGAACCGGCTAGGCTTGCTCCCACAAGGGAAGCAGTGGCGGGTTCAAATATTTGTTGTTATGATTTTTGTCCTTCTGTCTGTTTCTTTTCTCTGTTTTTTTTTGTTTCAAATTCGCGTGAGCAGTTGTTAAAACCAATTTCTGTCCGACGTAAGTACGGCTGAAAACATCCCACTGTCGGCATTGATTCCACTTTTCTCAGAGTAATTGTAAGTACAAGCTTCTGAGGAATTTCAAGAATATTTCAAATCATTCATCTGCTGTTAATTCAACTGTGTGTGCGAGACTCTAGGGACCGAACTAGGCAAATGCTTGTCTTGTTACAATTTTGGCAGTTGCAGGGTCCGTTCAAATGATTGATTTCGCCTTCGTTTTGTTTGATTTGCAAAGCATAGATCGAAATCGAATGGGTTGAATTAAACGGATTTTCGCATACCAAATAAATTCACGGTGGAATGAACAAAGAAGTTTTTTCACTGGTAGTAGAAAAGCGTAAATAACAGTCACTAAAGTCTTCGAAATTGATAGATATTGACGTGTTTTTCTTTATTGTAAATGTCCCAGCAGTTACTTCCACTTGTTGTTCCATTTTCATAATTTATGCAATTTAGACTGCAAGACCAATACGATGCTCGTAATCATAGGCCACCTCCTAGCGGCCGTGCACAGCGATCGTATTCGTTTCAGAAGAGAGAGGAGATTTCTGTGACTGAGGTTTGTGCGAGTAGTTTTCGGAGTTCATTCATAAAAATTTCGATTGGGGACGAGGGCGGAAGGGGTAACAGTTCGCTTTACGGGATTTTAAAGACTGATCTCCTAAACATCCATAGAAAATAGATCATCGATAATATTCCTCATTTTTACTACTTTTTAATTATTTTTTATTTTTCATTTTTTAAACATTTCTTATTAACGTCGTCTTCGTAAAAGTCATTAAATGTCACCTTGACAGTTACTTTCTAGCCGGTGTACAACTTGCTTAAAAACGTACTTTCTGCACGGTCATCGTCTTTTAAGGAGTTTATATGCTTAACCTTGTGGTTCCTTGAATTCACTTCCAACAAGAGGACACATTCCTTCTCCGAGCAACCGCATTTTATTTTTTGCAAGAAATACTCGACAGCGTTTTCGGGTTAAGGAGAAAGTTTAGCGCATTCTTTTCAATCTTTCTCGAAGTGACAGAAGAGCCTACTTTGCCTTCGCTTCTATTGCTATTTAGTGTCTGCAAATACCGTTTGCTACTAATTTTTCACCTCTATAACGGTTTTATCGTTTTCTGATTATGATCTTCTTCGAATTTTGCAACTTTTATGGACAATCTTGTGTTGCATATGCATATGAGTAATACGTACAGCTTTTTCAGTTATGCAAAGCGAGCTAAAAAATCTGTTTCTGTAAAGAATGGGCTGTTAAACTTTGTATTTCAATTTATTGCTTTCTGGTGTGCACTTCCTCAAGTTTGCGAACAGTTTATCTGGCTCTCCAACTGAAAACCGTTTGAGTCCTTATACTTGGGGATTGTATGAGTGTAGTCTAATGTCGCCTACTCACTCTTGGAACGGTGTGCGATTTTTTCTGTCAAGTTCTTTTCATGTGCTGTTTGATCCTGCCAGAATTTTATTATTTGAGCCGAAGTAGATTAATAAGATTAATACTTTTTTTGGAAATCGATTGATTTGGATTATTCAGCATGCGTGATTTTCGATTCCGCTTAAGATACTTCGCCGAACGTCCAACTCTGTCGCACCACTCACAGCTGAGACGATGACGCATGGCCACCCAATGGAACGACGGTTCGATGATTACGACATGCCTTCGCGTGAAGTAGCGGTAGCTTTTTCTATTGTTTTTTAATCTTTTGTTTTATAGTTCTGTTCTATGTAAGTGTTCAATCTAACAGGTGCTTTTGAGTTGTCTATTTTCCGTGTAGTTATGGTAGTTCGATTAAGACATAGGGAAGTATTGTGAAGGAATAGAGCAAGTGGTCGATAATAGCTTAGTTGGCATTCCAAAAAGTCCATGACAGATATCGTTGCTGACACATTTACAACCTTGGCAGCATTTTTGGCGGGCAAGGGCTGGTCTTTTATTTTTGCAGCCTTTTCGGCATCCAAGTGTGAGTATTATTTCGAAGATACCGCTATGATAACAATGCCCATTCGTAGATTAGTTAGGAGTACAGAAACCCAACGGTAGTAGGCCCCACGCGCATCGTATTGAGATGTTATCATATTTGGTCGGCCTGCTGCCAGAATACTAGAAGTTCAAGAAGCTGTCAACGTGCGCATTTTCACCAGTCCCTTTATATTACTAGTGCTTCGTTTTCAATGACGTCAAATTACGTTGATTAATGAGTTTTGTTGCTGGGCGTGGTGGAAAATCTCTAAAATAAAAAGCCGGAAGTTGACAGAAACCACCAGCGTCAGCTGCTTGTAGCTAACATCGATGTTAAGTGGAAGGCTTCCATAATTCCGCAATCGATAGGTGTGTTTTACATGGTTAGTATGTTATAGCAGTGTTCAGTAGACAGGGGTGGTCTGATGGTTGTGGTTTAGAGCTGTCTAGGGCACATATATTGTTATAATGGCAGGAGGCAGGAGAGAAACGAAGATGTAAAGGTAATATAGCGGAAGGAGGAGTGAATAGAGCCGCACAGGTTGGTTGGGTCGAGCCTGATATACTAATATACTTTAATTGCTACTGTGAAGCTAGACCTTCTCGATAATGCATGATGACTGGAGCTCAGCATCTCCTGGAAGATTTCTTTAGGAATTTCGACGCCTGTAAGTAGCGCGATTTCTCTCATAATTCCAACATTCACTGCCTTTTTGATGTTAGTTAAACCGTGCATAATTCCTCTTTTTTGTTATTGTGTGTCATGGTTCCCGTTGCCATTTCGCTTCTTGTTTAAATGTAGCACAAGCAGTACGCGCTCAGCTTTTCTATATGTAGACGAAACTTTTTGCAAGCAATGATTATACAGAAAAGGATTTCCATTTTATGTCTCTATATCTGCTAGGAAGCAGGTTGTATTGTAGCTGTTGATCAACCTTTTTGAATCAAGAAGAGTACATCTAAAAATTAGCATTTCAGATGAATGACATAGCTCACCGAGGATTGCCAAACAATCTCCTTCGATATTACGATGATGAGTAAGTGATAATAATTTACTTTTGAAATTTTCTTGATTCTTATGATTTCTATGTGATTCTTAAGTTCTAAGTGACGACGAACGTTACATAGACGCTCATAGGTGTGGCGGGCACAGTGTATCGTATGACGGTATGCGCTTCTATGATCCGGTACAAGAGACGGATATCCTCGGAGATGATGTTAGCGAGGAAGCTTCAGATGTGTATGGGCCGGGTACCTACAATCCAGGTAGGCCTAGGTTTTCATTATTACAATGCCCTCTGTGTTTTTAGTCATTTTTCTGGTTATGATACATGGCAGTGAAATTTAAGAGAACATTCTTAGGTGAGCGTTAATCAGGACCGTGTGCTGGTGAATATTGCTCTTAATTCGTATTTCCATTGTTACTGAACAGATTGGTACATCAGTAACTTTCTACATGGAAGTAATAAAGGGCCGTGCTGTGCAACCAGCAAAAGTGAAAAAGTTTACTGAGCGCATCAACTTGATGGGGTCATAAAGATAGGTAGTTTTTCCTTTTCAGTACCGCCGTGTGGTTTCCTATCAACGAACATTTCGATCTCAAGTTTATTGCATGCGATGTTTATGCGTGGGACTGAAGGTGGTCCAGTAAGTAACGAATGTAAAACCTTTAAAGATTACCTTAAGCCAAATTTCATCTCTCATTTTCTCATTATTTTTAATGTAATCGTAAAACCGCGATTAAAGATAAAGTGAGGGTACCTCATGGATCATGATGTTTATAAACAAGTTGGGGAACGGTTGACTGCTAGCACAGATATCAACTCCGCTTAGAACTCTAGGGCAATATTGCGCGTAACAAGCAGGGGGCCAGAGGCCTAGTTGGTTCGGTGAAACCAAGTCGAGTGACCAAGTGTCCCGCGAAACAAAACACATTGCTGCTGTGAAGAAATTTGTAAAAAACGAGCAATGAAAACCTCTATGCTTACTCCCAGTGCTGGTCTAGCAAAAGTCAGCAGAGGGTCAAGATCCTTCCTATGCTTTCTTACACAGGGAATCGTAGATTCTTCTCTGAGGTAGGTATAGGTATCCCGAGATCCATTGTGCAAATTCTTCGTTTTCTCGCAAAACAGTGCGAATCCCATTCCGCAGCCCCATTGAGCTGTGCGGATCCCATTCCGCAGCCCCATTGAGCTCAAGAGCAATAGCCATCGGATAGGATTGCCTACCTCTTCATGAAACAAAAAGCTCTCGTAAATTTTGTTATCATGTGCTGCGGCGCAAAAGTTACACCTGCAAGAGAAACCTTCGAGCTTTCATACCTATTGAGCTTCAAGAATTTTTCGGATCTGGAAGTTCCTTCTTAGGGAATCACATGAAAATGATTCCATGGAATCAATGAAATTTCTATCAGAGTGCACGTATCAATAGATGTAGAGAAACTATTAAACGATAATAGGCCTTCTGGATGAAAAAATCGGGGTCTAAAACGGAGTAGCATTAGAATCTCGGTGGCCAAGATCAGTGTCTTATTCACTTCCGGTTTATTTGACCCCTCTGATAAGCATGCCAATTCACCTGGGAATAACTAGCAATATTTCATTAATTAATCTGTTCCCAACTAGTATACTTGAACCTGATTTTTAGATCAGAGATCTGGTCCAGGTATACTCGCCTTTATCCCACCTTTACGTTAAAAATAAAGGCGTTTTCAAAAGCAAAGATTCCTGAATAGCACAGCTTGCCCTCTAGAGCATTTTCATCTCTAAGTAACACATAGACAAACCCTATAAAGGCTCCTAATTGTTTAATTTTACCTGAAAAAGTACTAATTAGAATGGGACATAAGACTTTGAGGTATCAGCAGAGGAAACTGGCGATACTTTTGTCAATATCGCGCAAATAGCTCATTAGCTTATGCGCATATTTGGTCCCCGCCTTCGGCAGCAACATTGCTTTCATTTTCCCGTTCTTAATTACGTCCACGCCTGCATTTAACGTGAGTGTGAATTCCCACACGATTCTTTGTCCCATAATCAACTATGAGCTATTCTGCTGTGTAACGTTTTTACTCACAAGTGCTCTAACTTTTTCTACCGCCTTTCATTCTTTTACCGTGCCATTAGAGGCGAATTCTTGGGATTGCTGAACCTTCCTTGTTCATTTTTTCGGTAGCCAGCGTTGAACTTAGTTCCAGATCAGAAAACTTCTCAGGATAGAATTCGAATGATTCAAGATTCCTCTCTCTGTTCCTGGACCAGTAATGGTTGCAAAGTTGTTCCGATGGGGAAAACTTTTAGAATTTCATTAATCGCTTCCAAATTCCCACCCCCGTCATATGACTAGGTTGTGGATACATTAAACCGGTCTGCCAAAACCTGGAAGTACGGCTTTTCAATGGTGCAGCTATAGCTGAAGCTCTTTAATTTGGTTTGGCCGGGGAAGGTAAGTTTGTTGTACTCTGGGTATACTTGGACATACGCACAATTTTTTACCATTTACCTCTACTTGTTTGATTACTAGATCTCATTTTCCTGGAAACTTTTTTCTTCAATTTCCGGTTGTCGCAGGGTAATTATTAGGCTGTGAGGAACTTAATA